TCACATATTACAGCTTAAGGAATACATTTTGTCACAATTACATTTTTTTTAAATGCAGAAATTTGAGTCAAAATATTGCCTTCAACCAAATCTTGTCACCATTATTTTTTTCTTGCTTGCCTAAAACATTTATTTATCTATCTATCTATCTATCTATTTATTTATTATTTTTTAAGTAGGCTCCACACCCAACGTGGGGCTTGAACTCACAATCCTGAGACCAAGAGTTGCATGCTCCAGTGACTGAACGAGCCTGGCACCCCGCTTGATAACTTCTATCTGCCTATAATGCCCTGTCGATTTCAACTTTCTCAAAGCACCTGTTTATAGCAGAGACTGTGGTTCTGGAAATTACTGCCAGGAGGCCTGGTGTACGGAAGCACTGTTCTAGGAGGGCATAAGGACGCTGGTGCAGAAGCGTATTAATGCCACCGAGGCATCAGATGAACTGGTGAATGCTTAAGGCCAACACAATTCATGCATTCTAGCGAGTTGCCAGCGGACGGGTTTAGCATGTTGTTCACATAGTGACCCTGTCACTCCCTTAAAAAAAAACCTTGTTGGCAAGAAAGCTGACAGTCTCTAACAATCATGTGATCTCTCTTGTGAGAGACTGTCTTTGAAAACGTTACTGAAGTAGCTCTTCTCTTCTGTGCAAACCATTCCGAGAGCACAAGGGAGGAAAAAGTGCTTACTTGTCCTTCGATGTAAGCCTCACCGCCTGTCCTCTCGATTTATTTGGTGCAGCGGACTCTTCACCACGGATCTGTTTCTGGATGGCCGTTAACCCAGGTTGACTTGATTTCTCAAGAAGAGAATTGGAAAGAGCCTTACACATAAAATCCAATGCTCCTCATTTACAGGACAGATTGATATATTCACTCACTGAACACACACATATTGGAGTCTCGTGTATGTGCCCGAGCCCGGGTTCAGCCCAAGGAATGTTCGGAGGAATGTGAACCACTTCCTATTCTTGAGGAGCACAGACACTAGTCATTATCTCCTGTCACTCTGTCACACCTGTCACTCTGGACTGTTATCATCTCTGACCCATGGTGACTCCATCTTGGCACGCGACATCATCTCTGTGCTACAGAGCAAATGAGGCTCAGGGTAGGTCCTTTCTAAGATAGTAATTAGCGCATGGTAGACTTTCAGTTAAGCCTACACAACAGGGCTAGTCTTTGTAACATATCATTTTTTAAAAATGTTTATTGATGTTGGAGAGAGAGAGAGAGATAGTGAGCAGCAGAGGGGCAGAGAGAGAAGGTCTGGGACAGGGGATCTGAAGCAGCCTCTGTGCTGACAGCAGAGAGCCTGATGTGGGGGCTCGAACTCATGAACCATGAGATCATGAGCTGAACCGAAGTCAGAGGCTTAACACACGAAACCACTCAGGTGCCCCTGTAACATGTCATTTAATGGGAAAGACCAGATGAATCAAAATACTATTTATATATTTATCCAAATACACATGTGAACACACACACACACACACACACACACACACACACACACACCAGTAAATGTTCACATGTAGTTTAAAGAAACAATGATGGGTTTAGCTAACGTATTTTTTCATCTAGAAGTCAGGAGCTCACCTTGCTGCCACAGCGTAAACTGACTCCAGTCGCCTTTCTCCCTCAGGTTTTCATCTTCAGGCAGGAAGAGGCCTTTGGCTTTGTCCATCACTGCAAGGCCTTCATCGCGGATTAACTTCCAGTTTCTTTCTAAGGACTAGAAGGAAGATTCTGGTGTTACTGGACCGAAAACATCCCTGGGAGTCATTATAATGACTCTCAGATTTTTGTTTGTTTATCTGATTCATACAGTAACGAAATTTGTGCTCTCAACTACTTGCTTATTTCAATTTCCTCTGGGACTTCCTGTCAAGGGCTTAAAAGAAGCCCTATCATTTTTGAGAACTGAATGCCTTTGCCGCATAAAAATTTCAATAACCCCTCAGACAACAGTCCCCTCCAAAACGTAAGTGTCTTGTTTTGTTTTTTTAAGATCGGAAGCGAACAAGACCATTGCTCTTGCCGATCCTGGCACATGTGACCCTGCATGTCACACCCCGGCGTCCAAAGTGGGTTGCAAATCACAGAGTTCATCTTCCAACAGAGGTCCTCGGGAAGATGCCATTCAACACGGTGAACGTTAATCACATTTTAAAGACATTGGAAACGTGTCCACTGGGACTTTTGATGAATTACAGAGTGAACAGCAAAACAAAGCAAATAAATGCCCTCGTGTTTAGAATTCAGCCAAACAAACCTATTTCTTTGACTTCTTATTTATAAGGGTGGTTAGCCCTGGTCAGAAAGTGGGCTTAGGACCAGCACAGCCTGGAGTGGCCAGACAGATGCTGGCAGACCGGCGGAAGGAGCATTCTGGAGCTCTCGCCTCCTAGTAATCCTCACTACCACACTGCGATGTTGACGAGGGCAGGACAGAGGGCAAAGTAGGCCAGAGTGAGCAGGTGGAGTGGCAAACGAGAACTACCCTCAGAAGAAAGAACGAAACCTGCTTTCCTACTGTACAATGAGACTAATCGTACAGCTAAACCAGGATTTTGAAATGTTAACAATGCCCAACATTTCTAGGTTAAAAGGAGGTGGATGGAATAGTTGAGTATATGGGTACATGGATAGAGAGGAACACAGTACCTGATTTCAACAAGGATCAGGGCTCCAGAGCATGGAACCAGAACTAGTAAGTTACAAACAAAGAGAAAAAAATTTTTTTTTAATTTTTTTAATGTTTATTTTTGAGACAGAGAGAGACAGAGCATGAATGGGGGAGGGTCAGAGAGTGGGAGACACAGACTCTGAAACAGGCTCCAGGCTCTGAGCTGTCAGCACAGAGCCCGACGCGGGGCTCGAACTCACAGACCGCAAGATCATGACCTAAGCCGAAGTCGGATGCCTAACCGACTGAGCCACCCAGGCGCCCCACAAAGAGAAAAATTTTGACACACAAAAAATGGAAATAACAATTAGCGCTCCCCGAAAAGGGATTAAGGTACCTTGTAAAACATGGTTCTCTATCTTTTGAATCAATCAAGCGAAACTGGTTGACCGATTCTTGGACAGAGCAAGGCATGAGATAATGTGTGAAGTGTTTACCAACCCGTGCTTTATGAATTCATGATTCAGTGTAGGAAGAAAGACAAGGAGTCAGGAAGGCTGCATAGGCAGAGCGCCCTGAGAGACGGGTGCCCTCAGAGATTTGTATGAAAACATGGCGTTAACTTCAGCCAAACACTTGTTATATCATGTGACATTAAGATATTCTAGGGCAAGACCCAGATTTTAAGATTACTGATTTTCTACTTTTTTCCCCCCTCCATTTCTTTGAGTCTACTGGCTTATTTCTTTTTTAAATGTCAGCTTTGTTGAGGTATGACTGACACATAAAATTGTAGGATACTTAAAAGCGTACATTGTGGTGATCTGATGTAAAAATACATTGTGAAAGGATTTCTTCCACCTGGTTAATCAACACATTCATCACCTCACAAATTTATCTTTTATTTTTTAACTTTTAAATTTTTTGCTGAGAACATTTAAGTTCTACTCTCTTAACACATTTTAATTAGACAATACAGTGTAATCAACTACAGTCACCATGTTAATTAGATCCTCAGACCTTATTCATCTTATGGATGAAAGTTGATACCCTTTACCAACGTCTCCCTATTTCCTTCACGCCCCCCCACCCCCCGCCCCACGCCACCCTAGCCCCTGGCAACCACTTTTCTACTCTCCTTGTCTAGGAGTTTGACTTTTTCTTTTTTAAAATTTAGGTCCCACATGTAAGTGATACCCTACATTATTTGTCTTTCTCTGTCTGGCTTATCTCACTTAGCATAATGCCCTCAAGGTCCATCCATGTTGTTGCAAATGGCAGGATTTCCTTCCTTCTTACGCTGAATAATATTCCAGTGTGTGTGTGTACATGTGTGTTTATGTGTACATATATCACATCTTCTTCATCCATCCGTTGATGGATACTGTGGTTGTTTCTCTGTTTTGGTTATTGTGGATAATGGTGCAACGAACGTGAGAATGCAAAAATCTCTTCAATATCTCACTTTGGATATATACCCAGAAGTAGGATTGCCAGGTCATATGGTGGTTCTATTTTTAATTTTTTGAGGAACCTCCATATTGTTTTCCACGGTGGCTACACCAATTTACCCATTTTACGCTGCTATTTCTGTGAGACCCACCTATTGATTTGTGTCAAAATCCAAAGCTGTAGCTACCATCACACTGATTCACGCTGGTGCTGTTCATCAGTAATTCCAACGCTACTTCATCCCAAGTAGGTGATTCATAAATAGCAAGTCAAAGACAGAATTCCAATAAAAAGATACTCAAAAGCCCTCACTTTGGCATGATGGTCGTTTTCAAGAATCCCAAGATTATGGAAAAGAAAAAAAAATGCTCCCCATATATTCACATCTTCTTAAATGGACCAATCGCCAACACTCCTTGTGGCTATTGGAATTTGTTCAAGTCGATGGATAATTCGGTTAGACTCGTGTTAAACTAGCACGCATATGAGGGGAGAATGACCTTTCTAACACATGAAGTTACTTTTCAGATGAGGTTATGGGAGCCTTACACAGCAGGCTCTTCCCTTTTTCCCTCCTGGTATTTTAGAAGTTTCCTTCATTTCTTCTGAAAGCTGATGTTAGGGAAATCTTTGCAAACAGCTGATCTTTAGTTACTAAAATAGGGCCCTGAAGCCCTAAGGAGAATGTTAAAGGGAAAGCATCACTACACACAACTATCTTTTATTTATTTTTTACATTTGTACTAAATAAAATTTTTAAAATTTTACTTACAATCAGGCTGCCTTTTACCAAAGTAATGAGTGTACTTGTTTTTTTGTTTTTTTCAACTTTGGAAAGATATGGCACGGTCTCTTTTATCGGTGTCAGGGAGAAATTAGGGATGGGACGTGGGAATTTTATTTTTAGGCATAAATTGAGGAACCACATTGTATAAAATTCACATGATTACAGGGGACTAAACACCAAACCTAATTACGCAGTGTGTGTGTGTGTGTGTGTGTGTGTGTGTGTGTGTGTGTGTGTGTGTGTGTGTGTGTGTGTGTGTGTGTGTGTGTATGACAAAGAGAGAGAGAGAGAGAGAGAGAGAAAGGATATGAATTTCTCTATAGCAATACCACTCAGATGTCCAACAGGAACTTGAAGGCTCACACAGACCAGGCCATGCCTACCTTTTTAAAGGACTCATCTAAAATATTACTCCTTTGACCCTAAATACACCCATTTCATAAAACCGAGGAAAGACACTGACAGGGTTGATACTTGCGTTGGTTGCCGAGAAGATAACAGCTTGTAATTCACGTTCCTTCTTGTGGCAACAGAGACTAGAGAGCACAGAGATCGGAGTGTTGTTACAACGCTACGTGGCTTCATAAACCCATCACGGGCACGTGACTTTTGCTAAACCTCGCTTACATTTGGCAGTCAAGTCATCTCGACGTGGCGTCCCCAGCTTCGAGCCTCACTAATCCCACGTCATACTACAGTTCTCCTGTTTCTCCTGAATCCAACCACCACCCCCAAGCAGTTCAGGGCATGGTCCTCAAGTCCCAGATGTTCTGCTCATTCACCTGGATGGTATGCTTTTCTCTTCAACATCAAATTAGGTTAGGTCCATTTTTATTTTTATTTATTTTTAAAATTTTATGAAAACATTTTGCTTTAATGTTTATTTATTTTTGAGAGAGAGATAGAGCGTGAGCAGGGGAGAGGCAGGGGGAGGGAGACACAATCTGCAGCAGGCTCCAGGCTCTGAGCTGTCAGCACAGACCGAGAGATCATAACCTGAGCTGAAGTTGGATGCTTAACCGACTGAGCCACCCAGGTGCCTCAGATGAATTTTTAAAGTCTTCTCCCAAAACAGATTTCTTGTATAATGTCTTTAAAGAAGCAAACTAAAGCCAAACTGATTCTTCTAGTTAAGTAGTTAAATATCTCTCCATATTTTTATTCTTAAAAACACACATTTGGGGGGCACCTGGGTGGCTCAGTCAGTTAAATGTCTGAGTTTGGCTCAGGTCATGATCTCATGGTTCGTGGGTTTGAGTTCCACGTGGAGCTCTTTGTTGTCAGCATAGAGTCTGCTTCAGATCCTCTGTCCCCCCCTCTCTCTCTGCTCTTCCCCTACTTGCACTCCCTGTCTCTTAAAAATAAATAAACATTAAAAAAAATTAAAAGAATAAAATTAAACATTTTTAAAAGTCAAATAGTACTACGGGTCTTACAATAAAAGCAACAGTGTCTCACTCAATTCTTCCCCCATCCTGAGTCCAACCCCAGTTAATTCCTTTGAACGCTTCTATTAGGAAAAGTAACAAGTTAACAATCCGATGTCTTCTTTTCCCTCTTCTCCATCCTGCAATACAGTTAATTTCACGAGTCTTTCGTACATCTGCGTAATTCACCTTAAGGTTTTATACTGTTATCACAATGAGGGATCATTCACCCCTGAGTAGCACTGTAGTGACTACACTTCATTCCACATTTTTCCCCCTTTCCTTTGGCTTCATTCTGTAATGCGCTTAGAGAATTCCATAGCACTAAAAGGGTGATAGAAAATCTCTTGATACCATTCTACCCTTTACCAAACACATCATATAAGCCACTCCTTTCTTCTTCTCTTTTTCTGAGGACAACGGTGCAGTAGCCATCGGCC